TATTAGAATGTTATAAAACAGACATCTAAACTTGTGGCCTGCTACTTTGTAAGGTCCCTTTTAGCTTTAAAAATAGAAGTTGGATTTGAGCCTAATATATATTCTTTAAACTTACAGCATGGTTTGAATTTACATCCCCCACAGCTGAAACTTCCCCAAAGGGTTTCAATCAGTAAAGATAATTAAAAATCTGCAAAAAGATAATGCTTTATTTCTGACAAAATTTTATCAAGACACATTAAATAGAAGTAGTCAAAGCCCAAACCATGACTTTTTAAAATGGGCTCTCAAAAAGTTGTCCTAAGCAAATAAGCCCATAATTCTGTCATTTTAGTATCTTGTGTTGTCAGCAGACAGCTTCCAGCATAGATCTGAGATGATGTATTGTCTCCAACCCCTGGTCCACTGGCTCCTAACCTTTTCTTCCCCAGAGCATCTGTGCTGTGGGTACTTCCCTGGAGAGTCATTAACTGCTTCTACCTCAAAGGCTGAGATTATTGGCATTTTTCTCCAACTACATTTCTAACTATTTAAAAGACCTGTCAGGACAGAGAAATAAATACATACCAAAAAATAACAATTCATCAAACTCTCTGTAGAGACATCACAGTAAAGGGAAAACCTAAGTTTTGGCTAATACCTTTAAAGACCTTTCTCTATCTTGCATGCCTGTAAATTATTTACATAGCATTCCACACCCTCTTTTAATGCCAGCATCCCAAGGGAGAAGGTGGATTAGAATATTGGTATCTTTAATTTAGAAGGCAATTAGACCAACAACAACAAACCAGAGCTGTATGTATGCTCAAAACAATCTAGTTAGAATTCTATTTTACTTAAAAATCAGTTAAACAATCCCATTATGCTGAGAATTGCTTTAGGCATGGTTCCAACCCAGCACATCTTTTTATTTAGTATTTTAGTTCCACACAGAGAAAGTGATTGAAATAACACTGTAGACTACCATAATGGTCCTTTCTGTACACCAAATTCCTGTTCCAGCTAGAGAGCTTGGGAAGATACAGAAATAAATGTTCCAGTGTCAGTCAACCACTTGGTAATCCACTTAATAAAAGAAACGAAAACATCTGCTAAAATAAAAGCAGCCTACATCTCAGGCCACTGTGACCAGCAGGTAGAGGAAGGGGATTCTCTACTTCTGCTCCACTCTGGAGAGACCCCACCTGGAGAGCTGAATCCAGCTCTGGGGACCTCAGTGTAAGAGGGACATGGACCTGCTGGAACAAAACCAGAAGAGACCAGAAAGATGCACAGAGGGCCAGAGGACCTCTGCTATGCCCACAGGCTAAGACAGCTGGGATCATTCAGCCTGGAGAAGGCTCCACAGAGATTTTAAGAGCACCTTCCAGTATCTAAAGGGGCTACAACAGAGCTGGAGAATGAGTTTGGACCAGGGCATGGAGTTACAGGACAAGGAGGAATGGCCATAAGGCAGAGCATGTTTAGATTAGATACTAGGAATAAATACTTTCCTGTGAGGGTGGTGAGGCACCGAAACAGACTGCCCAAGAAGCTGTGGATATCACATCCTTGCAAGTCTTCAAGGCCAGGTTGGATGGGGCTTTGAGCAACCTGGCACGGTAGAGGGCAGTCCCCATGGCAAGGGGTTAAAATTGGATGATCATTGGGGTCTCTCCCAACAGAAACCATTCTAGGAGTCTGTGAAATCCAGTTTCCTCAGTCTTCATCCCACTGCCTGCAAGCCTCACCTCAAAGGTCACCTAATTCCTCATATTTCCCCCTTTTGCCTCCTTTGTCCTTGTCCCCGCTTTGCCTCCTCTGCTATAGCTGCGCAATTTGCATTGTTTTGTTTTTAAAAACAGAAAATAAACATTTCCAATATCATCTTTCATTTCTGGATTTGTTCTTACATGGTCTGTGGGGCCTTGCTGCATAACAAGCATTTTATCCACAGCAAAGACCAGCAGCACAGCTAAATTACCTGAGCCAGTTACCTACCTGCATCACTGACTGAACTGGAGAAGGGGGCAGAAGGAGCAGGGCAGAGGTCTGTCCTACAGAAGAGAGTGTGGATCTATAAACATGTATATCCACACACATACACACACATTTACATGTGCATATGTGTCTATAACTTGCACCACCCAAGTTAACTCACTTATTTTGTTTACTCCCAGACAGTGAGTATGCATCATGTGATATAACCATTTATAAAACAGTTATCCTCAAGTGAAAGTACTGAAAAGAAAAGTTGTGGAAAGTTATTTTGCACAGACTGCTCTAAATTAATATAATTTGGTATTGCACATTGCCCAATTGCTTCTGTAAGCATTCATACACCGGATCTTGTTTCTATTAACTGGAATCTATATTAAATTATAAAATAAATAAACCTATTCTCCATAGGCATGTAAACAAGGTTGTTGCCAAGATCCATGCTGCCCTAATGCACATCAACAACTACTACCCACAATACTGAAATGTATTTGGGAATTAAATGAGGGAAAAAAAAAAAAAGACACTTCTTGAGGCCATTTCCCCTTCCAAGACACTTGAGGGAGGGAGGGCCCAGCAGCTTAGCAAAGGTTAACCTCACCAATTCCCTCCAGGCTTGTGCTGAAGAAAGAAGAGATTCAAGGTCTTCAAATTCCAGAAGCAGAAATCCTCCTTTGCAGCCATTTTATTCTACCAAATCAACACACAGAAGACAGTGGTGGGTCCTCAGACATCATCTTTACCACTCCTTATCCTGCTGAGCTTTCCAGTCTGCCAAACTCAACCTTCCAATGCCTCTGGCTTCTTGGGAAGTAGAGAAGATATTGTCAACAGACAAAGATAATAAAGTTCCTGAACCACCTGGAGTATTATCCCATTATTTATTTTTTGCATTTGAATGTAGAAGTCCAAGGAACTGATGGGTAGAACCAGGTTTTGCTCATCTTGGCGTTTTGTACTAAGACTAAACTTTATTGTGAAGCCCTCTTGCCTCTCCAAATATCATTGGGAAATAAGGCAGTATGGTTTTGGGGTGGTGAATGTGTACATGATTATGTACATGATTATGAAGAAACCTTATTACACGCTTTCCACAGATTTAAACTTTTTCAAATTCTGCCTGAAGAGACAGAAGCACATTTCTTGCTGCCAGGACAGCAGGGTAGACCCACAGTAGTCTCCATGACTGTGTAACAGTGGTGGACAAATGACCCTTACACTCCTAAACAAAATCAATACAAAGCAACAAAGTCTTAGTCAGACCTGAGAAATTCTTACAGGACACAAGTCAGGAAGCCAGAACAACTTGGCTTTGCATGCCTGCAGGATTAAACACAGCCATCTGACACCATGCCACGGTCCTGCAGGATCAGGATCACCACTGGGCTACAGCCTGGTGGTCACCAGAGCCAAAGCCCATCCCACCTACACACACAAGCCCAGCACGGAATATTGCGTCATGAGTCCACAGGACCATATGGCAGGAGCACCTCTGAAGGCGGAATCAGGCAGCCATGCGAGTGGCAAGCTGACAGAAGAGGTAATATTTGCTCTGAACCTTTTCTGTATCATTAGTGCTTGTGCTAATTACTATAACCAACAGCAGCAGTCATTCTGATGGGAGGGCTGAACAGGAGTGACGCAGCTGTCAACTCCATTCAAAGAACTAAACCCTTAAAAGTTCATCGTTTTGGGGGCAAAACAGAATCCATACAGCAAGATGCACAGGATTGCAGATTTTTTAGGGCAGAAAGCTTCAGAGAGCAAGTACAGCTGACGCAGATGTTAAAAAACTAAGTGCGTTTGCCTGTTTCTCAGGGGGATTTAAACAGCAGGTGAGTGGGGCTGGTCCATGGGACATGACCCTTTTTTATTTCAGCTATTTAGATGCAAATTGTTCTCCCTTCCTCCCCCTCTCAACACCATCTGTTAGCCCAGAGGTTTAGACTGTGCCTAGGATGTAGGTTTTGGGGGAGGGGATATAGATAAAGCATTGAGAGAATTTCAGTTGATGCTACTATTTCCTCAAGGGCACGGTTCTGGAGAGAAAAAGAAAAATCACTTTACAATACTATAATAAAATAACAATAGGATTTTTCCCTCGTTCTACTGCATTTTTTTCCTGACCTCATGGATTTCCTGTCCTAAAAAGAATTCCTTGTCCAGCTTTTGGCCAACAAGCCACATTATATAGAGACATTTATAGCACGTTGCTATGGTGTTAGCAAAGGGCATGAGCTTATATTGCATGAAGTACCAGAGATTCAAGGAATTAAATTCCTAAATAATAATAATGAAGTCCTTTACTACAAGGCACAGTATTTAATATTCTGTTAGTGCTAGTGAAGCTGCCTCATCTCTGACTTTCCTAAGTGAACAGCAATGGATTTTCAAGAACTGTTGAGAGATTTGATTCATTAAACACTTCACCCAGGGCTCTGCATTCTTTATAAAGGAAAGACTAAGGGTGACAGCAGAGAGTCCACTTTAAGGAAGTTTGAAGATGATGCACTACTGGAAGTGGTGGCTAACAGACCAAGTAGGTGTGCTGCCACTCAGAGGGATGTGGACAGGCTGCAGAAATGGGCCAACACCAACTTTTGCACTTCAACAATGGAAAATGCAAAGCCCTGTTGCTCAGGAGCTAACAGGCAGAAAGGAAGCAGAAAAAGCAGAGCAAGACCTGAGATTCCTGGTGGACCATGAGCCTCCAAACCACCTTTGTAGCAAATAAGGTCAACAGCATGTGGGCTCTATTAGGAAAAACAACTTCCAGCAAGTCAAGGGAAGGGATCCTTCCCCTCTGCTCAGGGCTGGTGAGACAAATCTGGAGTGCTGGGACAAGTGCTTCCTTCCCCAGCAGAAGAGAGACGTAGATATACTGCTGAGAGTCTAGCAAAGGTCCACTAAGATATTTAAGGGACTAGAGTATCTGGCATATAAGGAAAGGTTGAAGGAGCTGGCCTTTTCTTCAGCCTGCAGAAGAAAAAGTTCAGAGGGGTCTTATCAATGTGCATAAATACCTGATGAAGGTGTAAAGAAGATGGAACCAGGCTCCTCTTGGTGGTATCCAGCAACAGGACAAGGAGTCAATGGGCACAAACTGAAATACAGGAAATTCCATTTAAATGTAAGAACAAACCCCACAATAAAAACACAGCTTTTTTCTAGGTGGGGATGTGGGGAGACAGACACTAAACCACAGAACCCTGAAAATCACAGATTGCTTAGGAAAATAATGGGAATTTCCATCCTTGGGCATGCTCAAAACCCCACTGGATATGCCACTGCTCAGACTGTTTCAGCTGCCACCACATTAGGTGGGGAATTGGACTACACTATCCATACAGAGGTTCCTGCCAACCTGCAATTACAAGCCACACAAACTGAGGTTTTAAAGGAGAGAGATACACAACATCATTCAAACTACTTGCCTGAAGCACATTTTTACTCCTCAATATCCAAGCCCCCAGTTTAGTGATGAAGACAAAAGCAGTCACGACAACCTTGAGCAGAAAAATCTGTACAAGTGTTGAGATTAGTACCATAACACCCTCATGAATTTTAGTGTGTGGAGTACAGTCCCAGTACTTAGGAGATGCCAGCTCTTGTCCCAGTTCTCAGAGACCTCATTTGTGATCTTGGAGGTACAAGATGGGGAGAAAGCCAAAGTACTTCTTGTCTGCTCAGCCCTCCTCCTATCAGCCAATCACCTCTTTAAAGGAAAAGCAATTCAGGTAGTTAGAGAGCACGAGAAGAATCCCTTCCAGGAGCTTCTGCAACTTCAGTTCTCAGGAAGAAAAAAAAAAAAAAAGAAAAAGAAAAAGAAAGCTATGTACACAATCCTGATGGGGAACTCAGAGGTAAAGGGGGGCATGGAAGGATTTGAAAACCCTTCTTCCCCCCTTAGAGTCCCAGTGATGGGGTAGAAGACCCCTCCTGAGCTTGAAATATGAATAGGCAGTGACCACCTAAGGAGAAATGGGCAAGCAAAACAACACAGTGTGGGCTTCAGAGCCTCAGCTTCAACTGAGCAAGTTCTTGGGGTGCCCTTGCATAACACTTGAGGCTGACACCAAGTTGGGTTCAGTCAGACTTCGATGGTGATGCTTCACTGAGCTGCCAGGAAAGAAGCTCTTCAGTTGGGAAGACCTTCTGCCAGACAAGTTTTGCACAGCAACATTTTCTGAAGAGATTTGGGTCTTTTTCTTTTCTTACTGTTGAGATACTGCTTGATTTTAAGTGTTGCCAACACGAACACAATGTCTTCCCTCTTTCTTGTACAGAGGCAAAGCCAGAACAACGTATGATCTCAGTTACTTGGTGATAGTCAGGAACTTCAGGTACCTACTTGCAGACTATTGACTTCTAAAATACATTTAATTCAATTTTGCTGGAAAGCACTATACTGACAAAAATTGCAGGCATTTCATAGAAACATTCCTTAAAAAGAAATAAAAATCAGTTATCTGAGCTAACAGAATTTCAATAAATTGGTGCTGGTGTTTTGAACGATTTTAAAGTCTTCAGTTTAAAATACATGGGGTTATATATTTTGAAAAAAAATTATTTACAAAAAGTAGAGTTTTCAGAACATCAGTGTTTCCCCTACAGAATGAATAGAATGTCTTCTTCATGCACTGCTCTAAATCACCAGCTAATTTCTGTTTCCAGATCTCTGGCATTTAACCAGCACTACTGAGAATCTAAAGAACAGTTACTGGAAATGTTTTTGGTTAACCAACTTCTTGTTCACAACTCTCAGCACATGTACAAACTTTAAGGGCTGCAATCCTGCAGCTTGATCTCTAGTACAAGATGGAGGCATCAAGTCTCAGTCTCCTTGACTTTTAAAGGACAGAAAGGTCATCTGTAATAGCTATGGGGTACTCGGCCTTGATGCCAGCAAGCCACCCACTGAAAACAGTGGGAGTTTAGCCCAAATTAGGATTTCAGGATTTATCCCTGTAACACCTCCCACACAGTACTACCTGACAGCTTCTGAAAACTAGCAAAATGTGAGGGACATGCCAACACCATCCCAGATGAGGTTTCCAAGGGTGTGTTTTGTAACAATTGAATTCAACCAACACCAGTTTGCATATGCACATATTCTCAGAACTCCAAGGGGGTTTAGCATACTGATTGTAAAAGCACAGTGGCTAGAAACACCTCTCTGACAGCTACTCAATGCCAAACAAACCACACTTTTAGAGGATGAAAAAACACCAACCCCAAACCACAAAGCAGTTGCATCCAGGATATCATTTAACTTGTGCAATAGTACCCCCACCTTCAGATGTTTTTCTAGAACATTTTTCCAACACCCAAATCCCCATCTTCTCCCACCCAATACCTCCAGAACTGCCCTAAAATAGTTACTGCCACCCCCAACATGACCTGGGACAAGGTGGATGGGCTTACAGCCAGGAGGCACCAAGGTCTGAGAGGCCAGTTTCTGCCCACTCAGTGCCTCTGAACCCAAATCTAATGGTATTGATGCTCAGGAAACCAGTTTACTGCTGGCTGATGAACTTTCCCATCCTTGTCCCACTTTTAACTATGCAAATATTGAGCAGGTAAGTATGTGCCAGAGCTGAGTGTTTCTCCTGAGGGAAACATGTCTATGAGCCCCGTTCAACCCAATCCGGCCTTGATCCTGTGGGGAGCTGAGCAACAAGGAACACAGGTATTCCAGGGGCTAAAGGCTTTGTACAGCATCGCTGCTCTGAATGGGGGGACCTGGGTTTTGCCCAAACTGATGCTCCTGGTTTTACAGGCAACAGCATAGGGTCTGTAGCATCTAATTCTTAAAAAGATCCTTCATTTGGATCCCTGGAGGCAGCAGGGACCCACAAGACAGGGTCAACATGCAATGTTGGTGCAAGTCAGGCCATAATGGATGCACCAACTGAAATACAATAGGTAAGATGAGCAGTCTCTTTAGCTATCACAGCATCTCCCTGACAGCAACCAACAGAAAATAACCCAAACAAATGATAAAAGAAGAGTTTAAAAGACAGTCAAGGACAATGGGGCTTTCAGAGACTGAAACATGACTCATTTTGGATCCAGAGCACAGCTAAGTAGACACGCTGCTGAAGAAACAAGACAGGTTCCACTCTAAAAGCAGCAATTAGTTATCAAATGACAGAAGACTTCCAGAGGGTGTTCAGGATGCTTGCATTTTTCCCTGAAACTAGTCATTTTTAAGAGGATCCAAATGCAGGAAAAGGAAAGAAGTCTGACTCAAAGAAAAAAAAAAAAAAAAAAAACTCAAACCAAATAGCAAAAAAACCCAAAACCCCATAGCTGTCATACTTATGACTTACATTCTCTAGACAGGAAGTCTTTGGAGCAGCAAAAGCCTCTCTGCCCTTCACTTCACAAACCCTTGATATCATAATCACATTTTTAAAATATTACCTTCTTGAATGATGCAGATTAAGAGGCGTAAGTAATTCTCTGACATACTATTGAAAACCACGCATCAGCATGAAACAGCATTTATCACATTCAAGGCCATTAAACTATTACTTACAGTGCAATAAATTGTATCCAAGCAGATACCACTGTCACTGCTGAGCACAAAACTGAGGAAATTCCTCATCACTGGCCCCTGGGGCTTGAGTGAGAGAAGCTGAACTGCTCCTGCTTGGAGCAGGGTTTTGTCCTGCAGAAACACTGCAGTATCTCAGCTAACACAGCAATTGTCCTGTAATTATCATGCACACTTTATAGTTAAAAAGAGAAACTAAAGGGACCTTTCACTTCAAAAGTAGTTTTTAAGGCAAAAACAGAGGAAAGCTTTTCAAATGATGACTGTGAAAGGACAAGGAGAGAAGACTGTGCGTTTTTATGGGTCAGTAAAGCACTGCTGAAACAAATGTGGCAGGCAATGGTCATGGGAGACCAGGGTTCATTTGCCACACCAAAAGTGGGTTTATTTTCACAAGAGCTAGTGCACTTGTCAAGCACTCAGACACAGCCCCAAACAAGAAGGCAGCCTGACAAGACAGAACAAGACACCCGGCTGGCTCCACAGTCTAGACAAAAACTTGCTTCTCTGAAGCTTTTATATTTTCCCTTCCTCTTCCAGAGTTAAAATTGGAATGGTATCAGTTCCTTTCCCAAATGGAAAGCCCTCTGAGAGCAAACCTGATTTTGAAGCTTTCTAGCAACCACCCAGGTCAGGCCGCCAGAGCTTGCTGCTTACGTGTCTGAGTTCAGGGCATCCGCAGGGTAGTCTTGGGATCAGAGCAGAGCTACAGTTGGATGCTCTCCAGAGGTATTTTAGGAGAACAGCATCAAATTGCCACACAAACGCAATTGCCAAGTTTCCATCTACTGTTTCAGCAATTTGCTTGACACGTTTAATTTCACAGGAGAGAGTGGTAGGGTAATATGTTGGTTTTATTAATATGTCCAAATTCCCTAGCACAGCACTCATATCTTTGGTATGGTGCAGGATTCTTTCAAGTTCTGCTTTTGATAACAGAAAGCATTACAAATTCTTCATGCCGCCTCGAAAAACTATTTGGATAGACTGAGTTTAGGGCAGTCATTGAGAAAGGTGCAAAGCAATATTCTTAAATTACCTATTTAAACTACCCATCAAAATCTACAAATTTGGAGCAGAGAATTTTGGTCCTCTGCTTTCTTTTCAGAAGTCCATTCAGAAAGCCTGTTGAGCATCTGGTCACTTCTTTACCTACCTCTTTCAATTCCTGTAGCCCACAAAGAGCTAACTTATCTGGGAAAAAAATATTTCCTTGCCTTCTGCCCCACAGAATTTAAGAGAGCTCAAATTCTGACCCCTTTTGAAAACGCTGTCCAAGATTAGCATGTTTCTATGCTCCCATCACCAACTCATTGTCCATCCAGCTCTTGCCCATTGTACCTCTCCATTTCCAAGCTTACAGACTTCTCACAGCATTCCAGAGAATACCCTGAGATCAGCTGAATGCATCAATATGCATTTGGATCATCTGTTAAACCCACAAGGCATCCACTGTCAGAAGAGCCTTAAAGAGTGGAGAGTGTGTGTATGACTTCCTCATCACCATTTCTTTTTAAAAATATTTCAGTCCCAATTCCCACAGAAC